AGACCATAATATAGAAAAATACCTTAGCAACACTGATGGGTTTCCTATTAACTATTAGAACAATTAGAATGCTAAAATCAAATATGTATTAAATAATGACAAAAAAATTATTGAGAACCACGAATAAGAGCCATCTAGGATGGGGTTAGACCTGATTTAACCCCTCTGACTCCACAAGACTGGTGCTTAGATCACACTTAAATACATGGAGCTTGATTTTATTGCTTTTCTGAAAAAGACACATAATAATAATAATAATAATGTACTTCTCCATTTAGGCTTTGAAATGCCAAGGCCATGTAGCACAAATTGTCCTAAACATCATTTACCTGGCAAACAAACCTCCTGGGAATAAAAACATGGGAAGGGAGGACATGGCACCTAAATATCATTATCCTAAAGGAGAAGTATTCAAGTAAGGGGAAAAAAAAGAAAAAAAGAGGGAAGAAAAGGGGAAAAGAAAGAGAAAAAAGGGGAAAAAAGGAAAAGGAGGCAAAAGGAGGAAAACAAAAAAAGGGGAAAAGGGGAAATAGGAAAAAAAGAGGGAGGAGGAAGAAAAAACAAAGAAAAAACCAGAAAACAATAAAAGGAGTGGAACAACCCAGCTGTAGATGGCAGCAAATCAATATTCACCCCTCTGTACACAGACACCGAGAACATCAATTACCTACAGACAGATCATGTGTTTTCAGTAGGTTTTGTTATTATTTTCAGTTTGTCACACAGAGCAGACCAAAGTTGACTGTGCAAAGTCATGGGGAATCCACACAATTCACTACCCACAATTTGGAAGACCCTGCTCTCATTTCAATAACTAATTCAAGCAGCTGCATTAATATTTATTTTTTAAAAAAAACCTTAATTTGATTATCTTTTGCTGTAGAGACTGGATAATTCAATAGAATACACCAGAAACACTGGAAACAAAGAATTTAAGAATTTTACATTTTAAAAAATGGAGCCCTTCCATAATGACTGTCTCCATTTCCTGTAGTTCCCTATGACTTGTAATTATAATGACATTTTTTCTATTACAAAAAAAAAAAGCCTATGGACCTTAAAGATATGCATCACCCTGCCATGCAACATCACGAATAAAACTATTACTTCTGTAACAAAATATTTTACAGGCACCTTTCTTTGGGGCAGAGCCACGACAGAGCAGGATGGGGATGACGGCGACGGTTGGGGGAACAAGAGCACCGATGGAAAAGAGGTTTGATGCAGGCAGGTGAATGTCACTCACTGCAGATTTGGGGTCAGCAGGCTGCCCCCTCCACCCAGGCAGTGTTAAGGTATAATTTTGTTTTCTAGCACCTTCTAACATTCCATTTTCCAGAGCATTTTAAAGCCCTTCATCTGAGAACACACTGTGCTTGCAGGTTCTCCCACGTCCTTCCATAACTCTGCCCACCCAACCTTTAATCTGCTTTACAGAATTCAGATGTCTCTTTGGGCATTTAAAGGTAATCTTGACCTTCCCAATCTCACCAACTGAGTACATTTACAACCCAGAAACCACCAAGGGCAACAACAGTGAGAAATCATCCTTCCAACTCACCATCAGGATAAAAACCAGGGACAGAGCAACAGGAGAGGCTCCTACCTCCACGTCTGGGCTTTATGTAGGTGCCTCCCACCTGCCTCATTTTTTTAAAGCCCATGCTCTCAAATTACAAAACTAGGAGCTAATTTTAATGCCCAGGAGCAGCTGGCCCAGGCCTCCTAGGCTGGTCCTTTGTCTTGTGCTCAGTTTAATGACTGGTCCAGGTGAGCCTGGTTACAACCCACAGAGCTCAACATCACCTGCCTTGCAGGGCCAAACCACAGAGGAAAGCAGGGGAGAGTCAGAGGTTACACAGGCTTAAAAGTGGAAGTATTAGATAAGCTTTTCACTGTTTAAAAGAGAAAAAGTTTAAGCAAAAAGTAGTTACTGAAATAAGAATCTGGATAGGAAAAAGGTGAAGTTATCAGCATTAGGAACTGCCTACGCTTTGTGCCAAATATTATTACCCTGTTCATCAGAAATTATTTAGATACTAAAAGGAAAAGCAACTCTCTAAGACAGCCATTCAGACGTTCACACCAGAACTGGCAGATGAGGACAGGATTAATTAAACCAAGAATCCCACAGAGGTTAAAATACCCAAAAAAAATCACACTTGGCCACAACAATTCAGGAATTGTCACTATAAGAACATAATCATCTGATGCAGGCTGGCAATTCACATGATGTATTTTGAGATGTCTTCCAAGTAACAGTCATGTAAAATTGATGTTTCAAGTAATCTCCCGCCCAGTCTCAGCCTTCCATGGGAGCTGCTCAGGGCGAAACAGAGACTGAAAATACCCCAAAAGAGCTCTGAGAAGCAGGTTCTGACATGACCCCCTGAAAGGTGTGAGGAGGTAAAAAAGTATTTTTGCAGTAACAGGTTAAGAACCCTTTCTCAAAGTTTCTGCACGTAACAACCATCACTGAATTTTTCTGTTCGCATCAGGTTCCCAAACATGAGATACTTCTTCCCAGAGTCATCTCCCAGTATGCCAAGACAGAAATAGTATTTTAACATTTTTAAATACCAAAAGCCCTAGAGGCATTCCTCTAAACATGAAAATATTGTATTGCTTTTGCAGCAGTTTGATAATTTGCAGAGAAGGCAGAAATGACCCAAATAGATCCGTCCCAATTTTTAAAGTAAAAAGAAATAGAAGTATCCTCAACAGTTTTTTGAATCCTTTTCTGCTGCACTGGAGAGAACTTCCAAGTAGACATTATGGAAAGTCTAGAGGACATCCCAGGCAGCAATGGATAGGAAAGTCAAGGCAATGGACACTCAGCTCCTGATTTATGGTGAGATTGGCAACAGCAGAGGAAAAGAGATGCTGGCACAGGCTAACCCAGGGCTGCACTCACAGGGATGCAGGCAGAGTGAAACAGAAAATGGAAAGTGGAATTCTGAAACAGATTGTTGCATTTAACAATTCCATCGTTGTGGGGTTGTTTCCTTTTTTTTTTTTTTTTAATACCAATAAAGTTGTTCCTTCATCGTGGAAATGTAAATTAAGCTGTACACTGGGTTATTTATCTATCTGAAGAGCATTCCACATGCAAGCTGGTTTTCTACTACAGAACTCTTTTGTTATGAAAAAGAGCCTGTTGGATGTTTTAGGAACATAAATGTATCAGTTTGGAAATGCCAGATCTCACTGTGTGTTCTCTGTCCACCTCAAGGATGTTCCTCCTCACTGGGGAGGTTTTCAGACAAAGTTGCTGTTTGGGGAAAAAAAAAAACCAAATCAGGGATTATTCATCTTGCCTTCTCATTTTCAACTGTCTTCCAAAACTATCTAAGTACTGACAGGTGATCACAGACCTCCCTTCTTTTTGGAAGTTCAGAAAACAGCTGAAAGTGCATAGAATTAAGCTTTTGTGTGAAGAGGAATAAACAGCAGTGCAGTTTTCCAGCAGGGATTTCTGGACACCCACATAAAGCCCCCTGGACAGGAGAGAGTGCCCCTATCAGACCTTCCACATCTGAGCTACTCCCACCATGCCTCTGGGAGCAAAAATCACAGCTAAATTTTGCTACAGCCGCCTGTTACTACAGTTCTGATGCCTTCTTCTAATTCTTTGATCCCATTTTTATTTTTTAACTCCGCCAGAGAAAGCAGAAGAGGAGTGGGACTGTGTTGCTGCTCAGAAACAAAGCTGCAGAAAGAGCATCACAGCAGAGAAGGCAGAGAAAGGAGGAACCTAAAATAATCCATGCAAGCTTTTAAGGAATGTGGCTTCATAGGATTTGTAGGACAAAAGATGAGGATGTAGGACCCTGCAGAGATCCCAGTTTCCCCAAACACCAGGATGTTCAGGCTTCTTGTTTTGAATGTAGTCCCTGAATGAATGAAACTCCTTCCAGGAGATCTGATTTCTGCCCCACAAATCCTCCTCATGGCATCAGCTAAACATCGCCCCATCCCCACAAGCCACTCCTGCTCCAGCATTCCCTTTCCCCTCTCTGGGTCAGCATCTCTCTCCCTGCACCAACAGGAAGCAGAGCAGCATCTGCTCCTTGAGAATCAGGAATAAAGGTTAGGAAAGCTGCCTGCTGCTTCCCTCCCAGGAAGGCACTTGGAAGGAACCGATACTGGCATCTCAGTTATCTGGAACTGGCTTTGAAACCCTACAACATTCCTGGATGAACAGATTGCTGGCAACCATCGGGGGGGAGAAAAAAAAAAACCACCAAAAACCACAAAACAAACAAAGGTTCCAGCCAGGCCTACACATTGCTACACATTCAGGAGGTAACAAAATGAGATTATTTGTATTTTGGGTGTAACTGTGCACAGGTGTACACACACACACACACACACACACACACTGCACTGATTGCATGGCATGGCAGAGTTTAAACCCTCCCAGCTTCCCACAGGTGACAGTCACCTCTCCCAGGTTTCCCCAGCACCTTTGTCCCTGCCCCTTTTCCACCTTTTCCACCACACCTGCTGTGTTCTACGTGCATCCTCCGAGGGGAGTCTGGCTCAGCACTGACCTTGTTGCATTTCCAGTGAAATCAACAGCGAAACTTAATTTGATTTTTGATGGAAAAATGAGCATGGTGGAAGTTACGCCCTTGATACAGATTTATTTAGGCAGCGAAATGCCACTTTCTGCATCCAAGTGCTCAGAGAGTTTGGATTAACAAAGAACTGTTTTTGCAGTTCTCCAGGTTTACATTAATATAAAATTTAGAGCAAGCCTGTTTGAAGACCAGTGTTGATATTTCCTCTAAAAGCAACGATCCATATTTCATTATTTACAGAATGCAAAAGCTGCCTGATGAGAAAGCTGTCGAAGATAAGCAGCCTTAGTTAAAGTGGTGGACTTGAAAATACACACGAGAAAATCACAGAAATAAACCATTAAGAAAAAGACCATCACTTCCACAGGCCTAAAATCATGTGCTACTGAAGGGGACTGGAACAGCTTCTCTCCTTACCTCTGGAGTGTTTTTCTTGAACTCACGACTTTGCTCGATAAGTTTTTTCCTGGACTGCTCACTTTCATCTTGCCGGTTCGCCAATATTGTTGCTGTGGTATCGAGCTCTCTCTGAGAAAAACAGAACATAAACAAGAAAAAAAAAAGGAAAAAGAAAAGGGAAATATAGTCAGAACTGTTTGTCACAGAAATAAAAACCCCTCATGCACACGTTGTGTTGTTGGGAATATTGAGGCGGCTGGACTGTGGAGCAGTACAGGACAAAGCACCAAACTGCCACAAATTTACCTCCTGAACACCACCAAATGAAGCTCCAGAACCTTCCTGATTCCACCCTGCAACCAAAATATCACCGTTTTCCACAAAAGCACCCATGGCTTCACCCCAGCATTACACAGGACAGCAGCAGTGGCAACGCTCACATCCTAATAACAATTCCCAAATCCAGGGAAGATTACAGATTATGGACATATCCAAATCAGGTTTATTTCCACTCGCCTGCTCTTTTAAGATACTGCTTTTCCCCTTTTTGAGTTACTCTACGAAAAAGGAAATATTATTAACTCCAGTGTTGGTTAACCTCACTGGCTACGCTTCAGTCACTCTCCATTTCCTATAATATACTGTATATAATTCCACACTGCCACTACAGTGCTCTTTTCCATTTAAGTTGTTCCTTATTTGAATACAAAATTATCTTTTCCCATTACTGGAACCTATTCCTCTAAAATCATTAGCAGGGATCTCCATTTCCTCTCCAAACCATATCATTTTTAACCACCTGATGAATGCCAGGTTATCTTCCAACAGTTTCTGCCAGGCTGGAGCAGAGGCTCCATCTTTTCACAGCTTCCTTCCAAGTGTTATCCCCATCCCAGTTTCTGCACTCAGTGCTGTGCTTCCAAATGTCACCATAATGGATTGAACGGGTCACTTATCAGCACACAAACCAACAACGCTCAATCTTCTGTGGCAGTTTATGCCTCTTCTGCAGCATTTCCACGTAACATGAAAAAAATAAAGGCAAAACCCTCCACTCAGCTAAGCACAACGTTCCCCAAGCCACTGGAGAAGCAAGAATTTATAAGAGGAATTTTGCACTGTTTTCCCCCCTCATTAATTCCAAAGGACAAAAACCCGCCTATGAGAAAGAAAGAAGTTCATGGAAAGTGAGAACAATTTACTACAGCAAGAGTATCTTCAACTCATTCCCCTGCTAAAATGCCTCCAACCTGCATGCAAAAACTCCAGTGTTCTCCACCAAAAAACCTGCCACACCTCTGGCATTTGTTTGTAACTCAACCACATGTAAGGGACCAAGCCCACCGGCCTGGGACCTCCTGTCAGGTCTGAGACCAGAACCCAAATAGGTGCTCAAGCTGCTGACTGATACTTAGATACAGATACTGGTTTCTAAATACTCTGAAACAGCCTAATTTCAAATATTAGATACATTTTTTAGGGGGTAAATCCTGCAACTTTAAATGGCTGGATGGATGGACGTGGGTTTTATGTGACTGCACAGTTTGAACTCTGGAGGGAAAATAAAAAGCCTTCCATAGTTTCCAACCCAAAAGGATCAATATTTTACTTCCCCACCTTTACGTTCATTAGCATAAAATTAAGATCCTTTTTTTCCCTAATAAATATAGGGACCATAGTTATCTTAATCCTTGGAAACAAGCTCAATATGACAAGTGGATTTGAAGCCAGGCAGCAAATGCTGGAGCCAGTGACCTAAATATCATCACTGAAATGCTTAAAAAACCTTCCATATCTGACTTTGAGTAAAGAAACAGGGCAATATGTCCACCAGACCTTGGTTTGGAATTCTGTAACATATGTGAAATCTATTGCAGAAAAGTGGGAAATACTTAACAGTTGGATAAACCACATTTGAAATTCATCCCAGCTAAGTTTATGCAAGAAAAAAGAGCAACAGAAACCAATGTGGTTAAGCAGAACTATAAAGAGCAATATAACGGCTAAGCAGAAGGCTTTTAAAAAATATAAACAATCTGGTACGGCCAGAAACTTGGAAAACTATATTTAAAAAGGAAGCACACATTTAAAGCCAAGCAAAGAAAAGACAAGTCATGAAGTAAGAGGGGAATTTCAGCAGAGCAAAGAAGCAAATGCTTCAGTTCACGATATCGAGCGCTGGCAAGCAACCTCACCTACGGAAAAGGAGCCTTTTAAAGACCTGTGCCTCCAAGTTTAGAGACAGGAATGAAAAAGAAGTGATTGAAAATAAATAAGATTTCATATTTCGTGCTATAATGAAGAGAAAGGTCAGGCAGCAAATGGAAAATAACTTCTTCATCCCCACTGCTTGACTGATCCCAGTGCCAGGGCGCGCTCACTCCCATTAACTTTCAGAACTCCTTCTGGGACGGGTCTGATAATTTCTCACCACAAAACATTTCCTTATGTGTCCTATCAGGCACAGACACTGCCAAGGAGAACTGCCAGCACAGAACTGCACTGAACTGACACGAGGGGCTGAACCCCACGAGCTCAAGGTCTTGCTGAGCACTGACGAGCCACTGATAGTATAAGATAAAATTCCAGCTGAGGAACAGCAGAAATCCAACACTTTATGCATGATCTGATACAAAATAAGATATTAAATCGCCCAGCTATGTCATAGTTAATAAGCCCCAAATCAAAACTATTTGGAAAATCAGTAATCTTTTCCTCCTTACTTGATCTGAACCGTGTACAATGCACGTTTCATTTATTTAAACCTAGTAACAGATACAGGATTACAAACCACAAGCACTAATGGCAGATTTTTCATACTTTTGTGACTTAATCTCATGAGATAGCCCAATTTTTGTAAAAAATTCAACGTGGCCAATGCATTATTTCTGCAAGCAAGCTCGTATTAAGGAGCAAGCAGAAGCAAGTTCGGTATTTCCAACCTGAGCACTGTGTATCCCTCAGAGGTATTCAGGCTTCCCGAGCCTTGCAACCACTCTCTAAGTAGATATCAAGTGAAAGGAGATGTAATTCTGTGCGTTGGGGAGTCCTTCAGAGTGCAACAAAAATAGGAACCCATGGCTCAGTATCACTCTCCACACCTTTGAAATCAAAAAGGCTCCAGTGAAAAGCAAAGAGAGACCAGGGCTCAAAGGTGCTGCAGCGGTGACCTGGCTACGGAAAGGATTCAAAGCCTGGCAGCTTTAGTTCCACTGATTCAACAGTGGCTAATAAACTTTCTGGCCCAAAATAGCCCCCATTCAATCACCCCTGCAGAAAGGGAGTCGCTGCTTGGAGCACATTTTGAGAGAGAACAAGCAAGACCATTATCCTTCCCCTGCCCCAAAGTCCCATCGATTTAGGGCAGAGACAGTTCATAGATAACTAAAGAACTCTCTCCAGGGTTTCTGCTTTGACCCATTTCAACAAATTTATTGGGGGTGGGAGGGAGGCAATGGGAGGAGAGGAGACAAGAAAGTCTTATGCTCCTGAGTGCAGGAGTCATTAGAAGCAATCCCCAGAAAACAAACATTAAAAGGTTTCTTTCATGCAGTATAGAAATAAAACCCCTAAAACTAGGAGGGTCAACCTGCTGTCCCCTTGTAACAACAATCACCTCGAAGTGAATTTGTCTGCTTTTAACAGAACCACTTCCAGCCTCTGTTAGGACCCCCAGGAGCCTCCCTGTTCATCCCACCTCTGTCACCCCTGTGCCACAGCAGCTGCCTGGCATCCACCAGAGTGAGCCTGCCAAAAACACCCTGTCCTTCCCCTCCTAATTTCTGTTGCGCTGAATCAGCCCCCTGTAGGCCCCATCTGTGCCTACAAGGAGTTTGTACCATTACAACAGGGAGGCTGGAATACACAGCTGGAGCGAGGGGGCCGGTGGGAATCCCCCTTTTCCAACCCGCAATCAGGTTGACCCCAAGTAACTATGAAGCCCCAGGCTCACTGCAGGCAGGTTTCAAGGTTGTTTCTTTCCCAGCTGACAAGTCTTTCCCTACCAGATGCATTCCTTGATAATCACCCAGCCAGCAGGTCCGCACCACTGACCAGCTCAGCACAACAAGTCCCTCCCTTTCCACAACAGGAAGATTTTAAGCCAGTCCTTCCATGCCCAGGACCTGCCAGTGGCTGGCTGGCAGCTCTCAAAACTGAGTCCTAAGAACTACCTACTTGGGAAAATGATTCTAAAAAGAAATTGGGCTTTTGTGGATATTTATGAAGCTTCTGTTCCCCCGCCCACTTTTAACAGCTACTGGCTACTGCCTTGACATGGGCATTTCACAACCAAAGAAACCAATGCACTTCAGCATCCCTATTCCCTCCATAATCCTAATTAGTCCTCAGTCTCTACTCAGAACCAATATTCCCATGTTTCACGTGGAAAAAATCATTTAAAAAGTTGTAATAATCATCTGTAAGTACTGTGATGTAACTGTATCCAAAAAATTTTGTAATTCTCCCATATTAAAATGTTTAATCCCTGCTGCATTTACCATAAAGCTCTTCCATTGGAGCAAGAAAGACATATCACAACTTTGGGACAAACTGATTCTTTTCTGGTAGGCTTCTAGTCAGGGCACAATGCCCAGGTTGTGCCTTCTAAAGCCTTACACGTGGCTGCAGAGGTTAGCAGGACATCAGGAAGAATTTCCTCACTGGAAGGGTTGTCAGGCATTGGAAGGGGCTGCCCAGGGAGGTGGTGGAATCACCATCCCTGGAGGTGTTCAAGAAACAACTGGATGGGGCACTCAGTGCTCTGGTCTGGCTGACAAGGTGGTGTTTGATAAAAGGTTGGACTCGGTGATCTTGGAGGTCTTTTCCAATGTTAATGATTTTATGATTCACCATAAACCTCATTTTCCTTATTACAAGGACAGACACAAATCACAACTTCACGTAGGTTAGGAATTTTCTGCCAGTAAAGGTAGGAGTAACCACTTCCCCCGAAATCTTGTTTCTGTGTATTCAAGGTATTTCCCTTTATCATCATTTCAATCAGTTCCCCGGTCTGCCACTGAAAGGAGTTTTCAGTAGCCTCACTTCTGTTTTCACCCTCTTGCAGGATTGCATTTGTCACATCTATCCAAGCTCTCAGTGTAGCTTTTTTAACAATTTTTAATTTC